TGTTGATCCAAGCGCGCTGCGGATGTAAGCGCTATCATCATCCTATGCATAAGCGCTGCGCGCGCGATTGGGCACGCCGCCAGATCCGCGGGATATGTGGCGGCAGCGCGACCCGCCGGGGATGTTCATACGTCCCTGCCTCCCAGCGCTGCTTCGCAGTGGGAACCCACGGCGGGCCGCGGGGGGGGGGGGAAACGTTTTTTTTGCGGGGGGCCAAATTCCGACGGTCCCGGCGCAGTCCTCCACAGCAGGTCTGCGGTTATAGGCTCTGTAGTTTTAGAAGATGACAATGACTTCGCTATACTATTGGCCGATATCAACGAATTGGAGATTAATAAACGCTACAACAATCGGTCTCAGTCAATGTCAATTAGCTGAATCAAACAATTAGTGAATATTTAACATAGCACTCAGCAGTGCTGTACATGCATACGCAATCAAAATTCCATTTGTTCAACATGTAGTACTTAGCTTTTATCTTCCAGTTTGCAAGCATTTCTTATACACAGGTAGGATCAACTCTGCTAAAGGCCATAAAAACACCAACGCGTTTTTTAAAGCCATCAATCTTATTGTGTAGTACTAGTGGCAGCACCCACTGATTGGTGGTATCTACAACCGCTACTCTATTCTACACACCTGACTGAACACCGTGAAAAAAAGTGCTTTCTACTCATAATGCAGGAATGCAGGGGGCGTGAACTACACTCACTTTGTGCCTCGTGGGCAGTTGACCAAGAAAAAGGAAAGCGCACAAAAATCAGTTGTGAAAAGCCAGTGCTATGAGTCATTACACTAGTGTTGAAACACTCATTGATCCGTAAATGTTGTGGTTGAGGTGATGATGATCTACTATGGATAGAATTTAAAATAGAGATAACCCGCTCCAGCGAGAGACATTAGTCAATTAATATGCAATATATGGTCTTTACAGAATATACGATATAACAATACGGTCTTTCGATATGTAACGATTGCGTGGAACTAGCAGGCCCATGCCAACTGGCCCACCTGGCCCCCCTCTGCTCTGGCCTGGGAGCTAGTATAGAGATAGAATTGTAAATATAAAGGGATAGTACAGCAATCTGTTTGTAGGGGCACACACATATAAATTACTGAGAGCAATTATGTGAGTACTGGATATTTGACTTGTGTGTGTGCACCATCACATATCTGTAGGGGGTCTATTAAAGTATTAATTAAATTTCTATGTATGTTGGCTGTCAACTATTTCACACTTACAACATAAAACACATTTTTTCGCTTGTCCCTGTTGAAAACTTGTTGACGTATCAAACGCCCTTAGATGCAGGAATGAAATCTGTCGCACTAACATAAAACACATTTCTAGTTTGTCCTTGCCGAAAATTTGTTGACATATCAATCATAGATCTGTAGATGCAGGAATGAAATCTGTTGCACTACTATATATATAGTATCCACGCAGATATCATATATATCACTGTAATTCAATCACAAATATCATATATTATTCACTCATATTATCCACACATCTGTAGGTAGGTTCTTTCCTTTCTTATGTAGTGGTCTGTCTTCTGTACGCTGTGTGTGACGCACGTCAGTGATGATCGAAGACGCATAGTATAATAAGTTTTACGTTACATATCGCCTCGCATCCCCCCAGGTGAATAAAGTGTCGTAAATAATAAATTAAAAATAATAGTAATGTATATCATCAGGGGTTATTAATAATGACAAATTAACCCCTGATATCATATATATAAAATAATAGTAGTAAAAATTAATAAGGAATACAGGGGTAGAAATTAACTTTTGAACACGGGCGTCCAACGGACATATATATATTCTCAAAAAGTGGGAGTCCGCAGCAAAATGAATTAGTCCGCAGTCTGAGGTTCAAAATTAAAGATATTAACAATAACGCATACATGTGCTCATCATGCGGTTGCACGTCTGTCAAATTTTCTTTGGATATTAGCTGAAAAAATACGGTATTTCCACGAGGCCGTGCTCTGGAACGAACTAGGTAGTATGGCAGAATTTTCAGGGAGTCACACGGACTCCTGCATACGTCAAATCATGGAGTCCGACAGACGAGAGTAAATCTGGGAGTATTTGACTCCGGACTCCCGTTAATTGCGCACCCTGGGAATACATTTTTGCCTGTGTCGACAAAACTGTCGTGGTTTCGTTTCAGCTGTGCGCCGTCGTGTCGTTGCTGTGTCTCGTCACGTCGGGAACGAAGCAGCAGCACTTCATGGAGCTGCCGATGCACAGCGAGCTTCGCATCTTCATCTTCATCGCCATACTCGGCTTCCTGTCGTCGCTGCTCGTCCTCATCATCAACGTGACCGGCCTCTACAAAGCGTTTCCGCTCGACAGGAGACTGATGGTGAGGGTGCCGAGATAGTTTTGCATCTTTTAATAAGTGCGTCTGTTTCGAGCCAGAGAGGATATATATTTGTTTTGCGGGCCAATTCACTTTTGTTTGTCCGAACACCGATAAGGGTTGTTCTGATAGTGGACTGAGCTTGCTAGAAATACAGCCCTATCTATAATAATGCTCATCAAATAATGAGCATATAATGATAATATTTATTATTATATATATACATTATTACGTATTAAGCTGGGTTTACACTGCCAACTTTGAGTTGGCGAATTGCCATATTGTACCATGCAACTTCGCAATTGACAATCGGCTGTGTAAACGCAAAATTTGTACGTCCAACCGATCGATAGCAGCTAGTTGGGAGATTAGAACATGTTCTAATTCGCCAATTCGGCAATTCGCCAACTCAAAGTTGGCAGTCTAAACCCAGCTTTATATTCAGGGGTAGAAATTAACTTTTGAAAAGGGTGTCCAACGGAAAGAGGGAGTCCGCAGCAAAATGAGGGAGTCCGCAGTCCGCAGTCGAGGTTCAAAATTACAGAACGCATGTGCTTATTTTTAAGATTCATGCAGTTGCACTTCTGCCAATTTTTCTTTGGACATTAGCTGAACAAATACAGTAATTCCGCGAGGCCGTGCTCCGGAACGAACTAGTTAGTATGGCAGAGTTTTCAGGGAGTCACACGGACTCCTGCATATGTCAAATCAGGGAATCCGACAGTAAATCAGGGAGTATTTGATTCCGGACTCCCGTTAATTACGTACCCTGATATTATTATATTGTATTATACATTGTATTTAAATATATATTTATACATTGTGTTACATTGTTGTTATACATTATAATTTGTGTATTATACGTAGTTATACATTTTACCTGAGATATGCCTCTAAGTTCCTCTAGTTATACCTCTAGGCAGAGCAATGTAGATTGTAGGCGTTCAAGGTGGGAACCCCCCTAACCCCAACCCAGCTAGCTTATATCGTTATCATCTAGTCAGTCTTTAACAAGAGATTCTGAACACCCCTCCCCCTATTCACTCGCACAACAATGGAAATGGAATGGAATGTGGGTGGCCCGTTTACCAAACTGCACGTTCATTGATACGTACAATAAGGATGGGTCAGTTTTCGGAGTAAGTGGCTTGTGGGTGTAAAGCTTTCAACATAAATTCCATATAGGCCTAAATCATACGTTTACAAAAATGTTGATCCTGCCGCATCATACCAACAAACAACTGTAAATTAATTAAACTCTTCATTTCCCAAGTGCCAATCTGTGTTGTTATAAGCTATACACAAACAATGTTGCGCATTATTGTTATGTGTGCTAAATGACGTGCAAAGATAATTGCTTGCATAATTTCATGAGAAATGGGTGTCATAACGCCATTTCCTTCGCACGTCATTTAGCACACATAACAATAATGCGCAACATGTGAAGGGTAAATTGATGAGAGAGAATTCGATTGAGGTATATTGAGAAATAATTTCACTCCAGTCTGCATGCTAAACTTGCTGTATGCAGCCGATCAAAAGATGCATTTACTGAATATACCAGCCGTCTCTGTTCAGTGTATACAGTATAAGAAAACTTCTTTCTGTGTATACCTAAGCGTGCTTGCAGCAATTATCACAAAACCTGCAGGCGTTGTTAGCGATTCCTTTGTTCAGTTGGAATTGACTGGACTGCCATTGTTAATCGCTTTGGTCTTGTCATCTGTCTGGCTGTCCGCAGCCTCCGTAGCTGCTATGTCCAATATCCTCCACACCATGCTGCACATGGATGTGTGTATTTTGTGGGATATGGACTGTGTGTGTGTGCGCGCGCGCGCGCGTGTGTGTGTGTGTGTGTGTGTGTGTGTGTGTGAGAGAGCACGCGTGCGCGTTTGCGTGCGTGCGCGTGTTTGTATGTGTGTGTGTGTGTGCGTGTTTGTGTGTGTGCATGTGAGTGAGTGTGTGTGTGTGTGTGTGTGTGTGTGTGTGTGTGTGTGTGTGTGTGTGTGTGTGTGTGTGTGTGTGTGTATGTGCGTTGGCATTGTTGTGTGTGCGTGCGTGCAGTGTGTTTGCGTGTGGCATGCTTTGTGTGTTCGTGCGTGCGTGTGTGTGTGTGGCTGGCATGTTTGTGCGTGCGTGCGTGGTGTGTTGTGTGTGTCGTGTGTGTGTGTGTGTGGTGTGGGTGTGTCGGCGCGCTGTCTTTGTCTCTTTTCCCTCTCGCTCTCGCTGTGTGTGCGCGTGCGTTTGGGTGTGTGCGCGCATGTGTGTAACCGTGGCAACCACCACGGATTAGCACTGATGCTGTAGAGATTCCTATCAACATCTGTCACTGTTTTAGCCATATCAAAGCGTAGCGTAGACCTACTATTAGCAATAAACCCAATTAGCATACTACTATTAGCATAAAACGCAATTGATAATGACCATTTGATGGATGAAATTTAGTTTGCGTCTCGTGGTGCGCTCGTAATTGTCACAACGCAAGTGTTAGTTTTGATCGTTGAAACATTAGCACGAGGAAACAGCAGGTAGGTTGCCACTAACGTACCGTACGTACTACATACAGGTATCATAAAAACAGGAGTGTATAATATAGAGATATAATATAACCTATATAGTATCAGAAGTAGATAATAGGGGTCCCTATCCTAGGGTTCCCTATTATCTACTTCTGATAATATGCACTCCTCATAACATAACGCTCATTGCGGTTTCCACAGATATAATTGCTTACATTATTTGACATTACTTGATATTATTATTAGCACGAGGAAACAGCGGGTAGCTTGCCACTAGACGTGCCAGGGGTGAATAATGACAAATTTGCGTGTCAGTATTCACCACTGAACGTATGTACATGCGTACATGCAGGTATCATAAAATAATAATATACGCTCATTGCGGTTTCCCTCGATATAATTCAATTGATTACAAATTTACAACGCAAGTGTTAGTTTTGATCGTTGAATCATTTTATTAGCACGGGGAAACAGTAGGTAGCTTGCTACTGAGCATGCGTACGTGGACGGTACATGGACGCAGCGCCCGTACATGCAGGTATCACAGCGTTCATTGCTGTTATTGCGTTGAGGTATATAACAGCGCTCATTGCGGTTTCCCTCGCTATAATGGGACTCAAGCGACTGGGCGGTAAGAATGCTGACTGACGACCTTATAGCGTGTGTGTGTCGGATGAGTGCACACAGACACAGCGTGGAGAGGTGCCGATTATCGTACGGTGTAGAAAGATAGCAGCGTTCAGCGTTTAATATATATCCACCTTCTAAGCAGTTAGCTTGTGCCGGCTGAGGGCACACAGACGCTGTGAGCGAGAGAGCTAGAGAGAGAGATATGCCGATTTTCATGCAGTATAGAAATATATCAGCGTTATACATAGCGTAGCTAGTGCCGGCTACGTGTACACAGATGCATGCAGTGTAGAAAAGTACCAATTACTGCGCTGTTAAAAAATATATCAGCGTTCTACATTTACATAAATCCACCCTAGATGCATATAGTTTCTAGCTTATCCATTGACACTATAGTTAGGTTATGTCACGTTCAACAAAAATGAACATCTTAGCTAGTGCCGGCTACGTGTACACAGATGCAGTGTAGAAAAGTACCAATTACTGCGCTGTTAAGAAATCCTTCCGCTGAAGGATCCTTTATCTACTCCTGATCGTATCCTACATACACACGTATGTAGGATCGAGAGGAGCAGCCAGCCAGCCAGCCAGCATTCGGGCAGTATATATATATATATAAACGAGATGATCGATCCTGTTGCTTGCTTGCCCTCTGCTTGCTATTCGTCATGTACTAGACGTTCGGGCAACACCGAGGTTGAGATATATACGCTAGTAACTGTCCATGCTAGGGCGCTGATGGCGCGACGAAGGGGGATGAGGTGAACTGGTGATGTAATACTAATAGTGCCAGGAGTGTAAAATAATATAGATCTATATCAGGATTAGATAATAGGGATCAGGAGTAGATAAGAGTATAATAGGGATCAGGAGTAGATAAGGCGTTGTATTGTGTGTGTGTGTGGCGGTGTTGTGCGTGTCGTGCGTGCGTGCGTGCGTGCGTGCGTGCGTGTGTGTGTGTGCAGCTAACCAGTACACTCCTATTAAGATTTTTGCAACACACTTGGCCAGTTACGTTCAGCAGGTAGTATACAGTCAAAATACTCAGGGTCACGTAGTGAAAGGCAACTCACTACGCCTGGCCCTGCCTTTACAATAAGCAGCACAGCAAGGACGAATGATTTCACAGAGCGCATACAGTAACCTTGTAAAAAATTCCCCTCCCACATACACGACCGTACAAAGCTACCTCATACAATATGAGTGTCTGGATTTCTAGTACGATAAAATTCCCTCAAAAAGGATGTTCAAAGTAGTTCATCAACGTCCAGTGTCTCTTGCAAAGAGGCAGAATATCGCAAACACACTATCAGGAGTGTATTATATAGATCAGGAGTAGATAATAGGGAACTATTATCTACTCCTGATCCCTATTATACTCTTATCTACTCCTGATCCCTATTATCTAATCTGATTAGATCTATATGTATTATTACACTCCTCGGCCACTATTAAGTATTACAGTCACGCAGTTCATCGTCATCACCCTTCGTCGGCCACTAGTGCCCTAGACATGGAGCAGTTACTACGCGTATATATTGCACCATCGTGTATGTCCCGATATATCGTACATGACGAAATACAAGCAGAGGGCAAGCAAGCAAAGGATGGATCATCTCGTTTATATATACTA